CTTTGGATCTTGGGCACGCACGCACACATGCCCGGCATGAGTTTAAGCCACTGGGTCCAGGACTTGAACTGCGATCGGCTACATAGGAGTCAAGTGACAGCCATTACGCTAACTGCTGACCCCTACTAACTGGCTTTATCTGTACTTCTTCCCTTTGAAGATGGTAGTCACATACATCTGTATTTCCTTAGGATTTCCATGAGAGAAGTATGTTGCCCTCCATATAAAGAAAGCAAGACTGTATTGTGTGGAAAACCAGTAACCACTCATTTTTACACATAAATACCCCCCACCCCCACCCCATGAATCTGATGAGCAGTTGTATTTCATTTTGCAATTTTAGTTTCAACATTAGGGTCTATCCTTGTATGTGGAAGGAGATGTGGAGATGTCCAGTTCTGGAGAACTGTGTAATATACAGGTGGTGTCAATTTACATATTTTCACTATCTTTTTAATGTAATGTATTTATTTAGAGAGATTTTTGCTATAAGGCCTGTGCAAGTGCTGTAGAGACAGAGACAGAAACTAAAAACGAGAAATCCTGGGGGTGGGAGGGATGGCCATGCTGCAGTCCTTTCTCCTTCATTCTCTTCCTCAGGGATTTTGGCCATGCTCACTGGCCCAGTGTGAGGGTGTGAGGTTTTTTTTTTTTTTAATAGTTTTTTTTTTTTTTAGCTATAAGGCGCATGCGCTCGCTCGCCAGACAGAGAGATAGAAAGCTAGAAATCACCCCCCAGGGGGGATGGCCATGCCGCAATCCCTTCTCCTCTGTTCTCCTCCCAGGATCTTGGGCACACACACACATGAGCCTGGCGTGTTTAAGGCCACCAGGCCCGGGACTCGAACCGCGGTCGACTACATGGGAGTCCAGTGACATAGACATTACACTAACAGCTGGTCCCGAGGGTTTGAGTTTTAAGCGCTGGGTCCAGGACTTAATTGGTTGACTAAGTGGGAGTCCAGCAACATAACCATTACGTCTTCTGCTGGTCCTAAATTTTCATTATCATTTAATGGCTTAATGCTTATGTACATTATCAGAGATAGGTGTTCTGGTGGCCCCAGAATCATATTATTTGTACTTAAAAAAGTCACACCAGGGGCCAGCAGGTGGTGTGGTGGTTGAGGTGTTGGACCACCATTGTTCAATCAAGTCCTGGACCTGGTGGCCGCTGTTTCTGTTTCTGTCACTCTCTGGTGAACACACATGTCCTAAAGCAAATTTAAAAAAAAAAATAGGTAAATAGATTTTAAAAAGTCATTCCAATCTGCAACTCCCTAAAACTATTACTAGAAAATAACTATTTTGTCAGTTAGCCTAAAACGAAAAATCTTTTACCCAAATTACGTACCCTAATAGCTACATTTTTACCTACATAGTTTTAAGCTAATTTGAAAGACTCCATTTCTAGATGTCAAGACAGGAGTTGGAACTGGGACAACAGTTTGAAGGGGACCATTTAAAAACGCACCTCCCTGCCTGCAGACACCTCCCGACTCTCCAAGGCTCACAAGAGAGGTGAGGGGAGAGATCCGAAAAGCTGGCAGCAACGCTCTTCGCAAGACCCCGCGACGCAGCGCTGCAGCGAGGGCCGCGAAGAGTTAACGAGGGACCGAGCCCCCCGCGCCGCGGGCTCCCCGCGCTCTCCCTCCGCCCTCCCGTCCCCACCCTCTCGTTTTGGCAAGGGATTAAAGTGCTCCCCCCTGTGGCAGCAGTGACCCAGAAATGAGTTTGATTCACACAGTCCTTCCTCCATAACAAGCCAAACGCCCGTCCGAGAGTGCCTCCGTGCGCGAGTGCCGGGTGTGTGCGCGCCGGCGAGAGCAGGGGCCCGCCCGGCTCCCCGCCCGCTCGTCCGCCCGCAGCGGCCCGAACTCATGCGGCGCGGAGCGAGCGAGCGGCGCGGAGCCCAGT